GGACACCTGGGACAGGTGTGGGACAGGTGTGGGACACCTGGGACAGGTGTGGGACAGGTGTGGGACACCTGGGGACAGGTGTGGGACAGGTGTGGGATAGGTGTGTGACACCTGGGGACAGGTGTGTGACACCTGGGACAGGTGTGGAGGCCCCACCCTTTCTCTGGCCCCGCCCCCAGGTTGGCAGAGGAGCTGCAGCAGCTGCAGAGCCCTGAGGGGGCGGGGCCGGAGTGACCGGACTGAGCTGGACACGCCCCACGGGACACCTGGGGCACCTGCGGGACACCTCTGCCTGTTACCTGTGTTACCTGAGTGTTACCTGTGTTACCTGTTACCTGGGTGTTACCTGTATTATCTGTGTGGTTACCTGATTACCTGCCTGTTATTTGTGTGTTACCTGTGTGTTACCTGAGTGTTACCTGCCTGTTACCTGTTACCTGTGTTACCTGAGTGGTACCTGTGTTACCTGTTACCTGGGTGTTACCTGGGTGTTACCTGGGTGTTACCTGGGTGTTACCTGGGTGTTACCTGGGTGTTACCTGGGTGTTACCTGGGTGTTACCTGGGTGTTACCTGGGTGTTACCTGGGTGTTACCTGGGTGTTACCTGGGTGTTACCTGGGTGTTACCTGGGTGTTACCTGGGTGTTACCTGGGTGTTACCTGGGTGTTACCTGGGTGTTACCTGGGTGTTACCTGGGTGTTACCTGGGTGTTACCTGGGTGTTACCTGGGTGTTACCTGGGTGTTACCTGGGTGTTACCTGGGTGTTACCTGGGTGTTACCTGGGTGTTACCTGGGTGTTACCTGGGTGTTACCTGGGTGTTACCTGGGTGTTACCTGGGTGTTACCTGGGTGTTACCTGGGTGTTACCTGTATTATCTGTGTGTTAGCTGTGTTACCTGGAGGTTACCTGGGTGTAATTTGGGTGTTACCTGGCTGTTACTGGTGTTGCCTGAGTGTTACCTGTGTTATTTGTGTGTTAACTGTGTTACCTGGCTGTTACCTGTGTTACCTGGGTGTTACCTGTGTTACCTGGGTGTTACCTGTGTTACCTGGGTGTTACCTGGGTGTTACCTGGGTGTTACCTGTGTTACCTGGGTGTTACCTGGGTGTTACCTGTGTTACCTGTGTTACCTGTGTTACCTGGGTGTTACCTGTGTTACCTGTGTTACCTGTGTTACTTGTCTTTACCCGGGTGTTGCCTGGGTGTTATTTGTGTGTTACAGGTGTTACCTGGGTATTACCTGTGTTACCTGGGTGTTACCTGTGTTATTTGTGTGTTACCTGTGTTACCTGACTGTTACCTGGCTGTTACCTGTATTATTTGTGTCACTTGGGTGTTATTTGTGTGTTACCTGAGTGTTACCTGTGTCACCTGTTACCTGCGTATCACCTGGGTGTTACCTGGGTATCACCTGTGTTACCTGTGTGTTACCCCATGTCCCCCCATGTCCCCAATAAACGCTCCCCTCCCCCCGCCGTCTCTCCGGTGTCTCTTTGTGACCGCGGCTCCCCAACATGGCGGCCCCCAGTGGGCGCCGCCATTGCTGCCCCGCCCGCCGCCATGCTGGGAGCGGCGCGCCCTCACTGCACCGGAAGTTGGACACGCCCCCACTTCCGGCCGGGGTTGGGCCTAGCCCGGAGCGTCCGGCGGTGGCGGCGGCAGCGATGGTGAGGGGGGGTCCCGGGGCTTTGTGAGGGGTCCGCGGGCGGTGGGGGCCGGGCAGGGTGTCCTGGGCGGCTCCCGGGCTCTGACAGCCTCCCCCCGCCGTTACCCCCCTCAGGACAGCGAATTCTCGGACGCGGAGGCGGCCCCGGGCGGGGAGGAGAACGCGCCGGTTTATTGCGTGTGCCGCAAACCGGACATCAACTGCTTCATGATGTGAGGGGGAAACGGGGGGATCGGGGTCGGGAATGCTCCGGGATGTGAGGGGGAGCGGGGGGGTCTGGAATTGCTCCGGGATGTGAGGGGAGAACGGGGGGATTTGGGGTCGGGAACGGCTCCGGGATGTGAGGGGGATTCGGAGGGATCAGGGTCCGGAGCTGCTCCGGGATGTGAGGGGAGAACGGGGGGATTCGGGGTCGGGAACGGCTCCGGGATGTGAGGGGGAGCGGGGGGGGTCGCAATCCGGAGCTGTTCCAGATTGTGAGGGGGAATTTGGGGTCTGGAATTGCTCCGGGATGTGAGGGGGGATCGGGAAATGCTCCGGGATGTGAGGGGGGATCAGGAGCTGCTCCGGGATTTGAGGGGGAACGCGGGGGTCTGGAATTGCCCCTGGATTTGAGGGGGAACGCGGGGGTCGGGGATGTCCC